CTAAACTTATTTCAATGAAAACCTTTACTTTTTTGGCACTAAACTGTGGGTTGCTTCCCATACTTATTATTTGAAATAAGTGCACTAATTTTTAATTACACTCTTGCAAGTCAGCATGTTCACTGGGATTTTTCCTTAGTCAGCTCAGTCTACAAACATTTCCTGAGCAACTACTGTGTGGTATCAGGAGCTTGCCTGGACAATCGACAGTCAAAATCCACCATTTTCCTGTGTGCTAACACAACCTGCCTGGCACTTTAAACCAGATACTCTACAGTTTCTAAAAAAATCTTCCACATGCAGGTAGACTGAAGCACTCTATTTACTTATATACTTTTTTCTGCAGGCAGATAGAAGAGATATTTGAAAGTTATACCATGTTTCTGGGGACCTAATTGCTTCCAAAAGGTGGGACTTAATACTTTTCATTCTCTGTTTGGGTAAAATCAATAAAGCATCATAAATGCTTCTCACTGAGGGGCAACGACTTACAAAATAACAACTGAGGAAGAAAATACCCTCACAGTCAAACTCTACTCCTTGTTTTTTTGCAGGAGCATGCTAGAGGCAGACACTCTATATGGGACAAGAGTTTTCAGAACAGAGATGTGTAAGGCAGAAGGTGGGGGCGGGGTGCTAAGTCAGGCTTCTTTCTGTTTTCTCACTGACACTGGTTTCCCCTCATTCCTGCATCCCTCTCCATGTTCCGGATAAGGAGACTGTGCCTGGCTTTTCAAGGGGTTAAATTTCAGCTCCCTTCCGGGCGCTTCTGCCCACAGAGTCCCTGGGTTTGTACAGCAGCGGTCATCTGCAGGACACACACGGCAAATCCAGCCGCCGGATGAGGGATCCTGCTAATTGTTTAAGCCTGCACTAGTGTCTGGCCACCAGTTGGCAGACACAACTCATGGCTGCCTACCAGGCCTAGGTTAGCACAGCTGGAGCCAGATGACAAGCTCGCAAATATATTCTTCCCATGGTCACATCTGGCTCTTGGCAGCTCCAACTGTGGCTAAGCTGATTGTTTGGATTTTCTGGGCAAGTTTAGGCCACAGATAAGACAAGTCACAATCATTTCAGTTCAGGACAAAATATCAGAATACAAACTCCATGAAGGCAGGGACTTTTATCTGACTTGTCTGCTATATCCCAGTACAGAACAGCAGCTACACATGGTAGATGCTCAGTAAATAAAGAATGGATAATGCCAACCAGCATGCAGAGTGAACAAAAGCATTCCTGTATCTTATATTCCAGCTCCTCTGTTCCTACTACTGCATATACAATGGCTAAAACTCTGGTGCGTACAGAGAGCCCCCGAGCAGCTGAATAGCTAGATTTTATTATGGGCATGTTGACACGCGAGAATGAACCCATGCATGCACACTGACAGTATAGCTGGAAAGACCTCCAACAATCCTTCCCCCCAAATTACCCAGTCTCCCAGTATTACCCACATCCCTACTTTATTAGTCCTTAAAGTAAGAAACTTGGCAGCTATGTGCCCACAGTGCCTGCAAGTGATCTGAAAAGAGAAACTTACCTTTCGGCCACCACAGAAATGCCAAACGATGAGGCAACTTTTCCTGGCACCTTGTCATCCCACTTCCTTTCCCATGCTTCTCTTCCTGAATTCCCTGACTTCTGCAGAGTCCAGCTCTTTTTCACACTCAACTTTGACCTGAGACTAGGCTTTTCCAAAGCTCGCCACCCCTCTAACTCCCCACTCCTCTAGCTCCCACTAGAAACACATTTAGGAACTCAGGTACATTTAGAAACACCAGCCTAATTTAGAATGGGGCTTACCCTCTGGCTCCTTTGTGAGAAAGAAGCCCCTGCTTATAGAATGCTCCACTAACAATGGCATGAGAGAGCTTGTACTCCTTGTGACTCCAAAGCGCCCCTGAATCCCCTAATAACTTGATAAAGGTGGAGGGACACTTAATAGAAACCCGGTGGGGCTGTGTATATATGACACTCCCTCCTCAAAACAGGAAGTTAACACTCCTAACACAAAAATGGCTGAACTAGGCAGATGACTTTGGCAAGCTCAGCATATGGTCTTCAATGAGACAAAGCTACTCAAAAGAGTACAAGATGAAGCTGCTGCTGAACTCACCTTCTTTCTGTCATGTAAAGCCACAGGGGTGGGGGTGTGTATAATTCTTTTGTGCTAAGTGTAAGTTTCTGAAGAGAGTACTGTGTCTACTATGAAGAGGTTGGGCTTCAAACTCTCCTTGGAAGGAGTCACTTACCTCATCAAAGGTGGGGCAGGAAAAGCTACCCCCCTCATGTGCCCCTCCTCCCTTGTTCCTGCTACTGGAAATTACTTTAAAATGGGAGAATACCTTTCACAGTTCCACAATCACAATGAAGGTTAAAGATAGTTCTGAGGAAAGTGGACAACAGGTTGCAAAATGACCAATACCTATTCCTTAGCTGAAAGCAGGCTATTCAGTAAAAACAACAGAACAGTTTCTGAAAGTTAAGGAAGAATTTTTTAAAAGGCAAGGCTGAAGATGTACAGGACAAATATCTGTATTTCTTAATGCTTTCTTGGGCTGCCTCACTTAAAATTAAGTAGTATATAATACAGTACTTCATAGTATAGTCTGGATGAGGCTAGTTCAGAATTTGCAAGTGCCCAAGTTCAAAACTCAGCTCTGATGCTTACTGGCCTTGTGAACTCAGTCAAGTTACTTAAGTTCTCTGTCCCTCAGTGTGCTCTTCCATAAAATGGGCTTAATTATAGTATATACAAGTGCTTTTGAGGAATAAATGCACCAACACAAAGAAGTGCTTAGAATAGTACCTGGCACAAAGTGAACACTGAACGAAATGATGACCACTGCTATTATGACCAGAAGTAATAGAACTTCAATAAATCTAAAACTTCCTACATCTCATTTATGCTATCTCTACAAGTTGTCAGTAATATCTGGCTGTCTGCCATGCTGCAGGCTAAAAAAGACAGAATGCAGATCAGATTTTAAACTTCTTAAGAACATACTGTTAAAATAAAATCAAAGTACTTATTCCTCTCCCCCTCAGTATTAGCTGGAGAAGTAGAGATTTCAGATCAGGGGTCTTACCTACCTCAGTAGAGGCAAACCATTGGTTACAAAAGGGCCACAATCCAAGGTTAGCATCAGTTGCCTGTCCCACCAGCGACCAAAAAGGACTGCGGGGGAAATCTTCAAAGAAGGCAAGAGGAGAATCCGGCCTGGAACCCAAAGGTATTGAAGCACATTTTCTGGTACTTTTCAAGTCTGTGCATATAGATTCTGTTACTGATTTAGGGTCTTAAACAGTTTGTTTATTTTTTAAATGCCTTTCAGCTCACCTTTAATAACATGTTTCTTTGACTTGGCTGAACTATGCCTCAGAAGAATTACAAGCGGGAATACGGCTGGGTAAAAGGTTCAGTGAACTAATCCACACCTGGTCCATGTAAAAAAAAAAAAAAGAAAGAAAGAAAAAAGAAAGAAAGAAAGAAAGAAAAAAGCTCATATTTTCCATATAGAAACAAGTCTTTGTATATGAACCAGCCTTTTATTTAATGACTGAGACACTTTCCACACCGCATAACGTTTCATGTGCTTCTTCTCTTGGTGGGTCACACCATGGAGTTTTATCAGTAACAAAAATTACTGCTAATAACTAATAAAAAGCACAAATCCCATTCAAAGTAGGAAGTGGTAGATTCATTTTGCCAGAAATTCCTTGGCCAAGTTTTGCCAATGATAAAAGACAAGGATGACCCCTAAGAACAGATTTGACATCCACTAACGAGATCTCCAGACCAAAGTTCAGATTGATTCTGTGTCAGTGGTGTGAGCCAGACTTTTAAGTGGAAGGAATAAGACGCAGATGAGGAAAATCTCAGATGAGGGAGAAAAGAAAACATTTCAGAGCTGAAATGTGGCTTTGAGGGTCTAGTCAAGCCACTCCTTCATTGGGACTAGATTCAGTGCATGACTGAGGTCATGTAGGTGGTGGGGACAAAAGCAGGGACACAAGCCTCTGGACTCCCAATGACTGCAATGGCTAGAGAAAAGCAATGGCTGAAGAATGTGACCAGAAAGAGATTATGAAAAGAGATTTTGGAGCGATCCTTTCAATAGCAAAAAGACCAAAGAATGGCAGAAGTCACAAGTGTCCTGCAGGCTATCCCAGTTCACTGCATCTGAAGTTTAACTTTCTTCTATGAAGTCATTCACTTCCATGCTCCAGGCATCCTGTGTTTGATGTGCTTTTTTTTTTTTTCTTAGTTGGAGTCTCACTCTGTCACCCAGACTGGAATGCAGTGGCACGCTTCCGGCTACCACAGCCTCGACCTGCTGGACTCCAGCGATCCTTCCGCCTCAGCCTCCCAAGTAGCTGGAACAACAGGCATGCGCTACCATGCCCGGCTAATTTTTTATTTATTGTAGAGACGAGGTCTTGCCAAGTTGCTTGGGTGGGTCTCAAACCCCTGGGACTCAGGCAATCCACTCGCCTCGGCCTCCCAAAGTGCTGGAATTACAGGCTGAGCCACTGAGCCCAGCCCACATTTTTGTTTTCAAGAAAATTATTTTTAATCAACCATGGTTTGAAGTAAGCGGACAGACGGATAGTTCCACACCTTCGTTAAGAGGAAGCAAAAAACCCGGGCTCGGTGGCTCAGCCTGTAATCCCAGCACTTTGGGAGGCTGAGGTGAGTGGATTCCCTGAGCCTGCGGGTTCGAGACTCACCTGGGCAAGTTGGCAAGATCTCATCTCTACAATAAATCAAAAATTAGCTAGGCATGGTAGCACACGCCTGTGGTTCTGCCAACTTGGAAGGCTGAGGTGGAAGGATCGCCAGAGCCCAACAGGTTGAGGCTGTGGTGGCCGGGAGCGTGCCACTGCACTCCAGTCTGGGAGACAGAGTAAGACTCCAACTCAAAAAAAAAAAAAAAAAAAGAGGAAGGAAAAATCCTTTCATTAGAAGCCCAGAGAAGGCCCCTCCTGCCACCAATATGGAGACTTTGTATCGCGTCCCATTCTTAGTGTTCGAATGTCCCAACCTAAAGCTGAAGAAGCCGCCCTGGGTGCACATGTCGTCGGCCATGACGGTATATACCTTGGTGGTGGTGTCTTTTTTGTTTTGTTTTGTTTTTGAGTTGGAGTCTCACTCTGTCGCCCAGACTGGAGTGCAGTGGCCACTCCCAGCCACCACAGCCTCGACCTGCTGGGCTCCAGCGATCCTTCCGCCTCAGCCTTCCAAGTAGCTGGAACTACAGGCATGTGCTACCACACCCGGCTAATTTTTTTAAATTTATTGTAGAGATGAGGTCTCGCCAAGTTGCCCAGGCGGGTCTCGAACCCACGGGTTCAGGCAATCCACTCACCTCAGCTTCCCAAAGGCGTGGGATTACAGGTTGAGCCACCGAGCCCGGCTGGTGGTGGTGTCTTACTTCCTCATCACCGGAGGAATAATTTATGATGTTATTGTTAAACCTCCAAGTGTTGGCTCTATGACTGATGAACATGGGCATCAGAGACCAGTAACTTTCTTGGCCTACAGAGTAAATGGACAATATATTATGGAAGGACTTGCATCCAGCTTCCTGTTTACAATGGGAGGTTTGGGTTTCATAATCCTGTACCAATCCAATGTACCAAATATTCCAAAACGCAATAGATTTCTTCTTCTATTCATTGGATTCATCTGTGTCCTATTGAGTTTTTTCGTGGTTAGAGTATTCATGAGGATGAAACTGCCGGGCTATCTGATGGGTTAGAGTGCCTTTTGAGAAGAAATCTATGGATACTGGATTTGTTCCTGATAATGTAATTTTAAAGGCTGTACCAATCGTCTAATATGAAATGTGGAAGAGAATGAAGAGTAGCAGAAAACAAAATATCTAGCAAAAACATAGGAAATGTTTGAAAGCTTGGACTAGAATTTCTTCTTGGTATCAAAGAGACAAGTTTATCACAGTATTTTTTCCTGCTGACCTGTACTGTAGCAACAATGTTAAGTGGCATTTTCTTCTTAGTTTTTCATATCTTAAAGAAAATATACTCCATATCTATAATATTGAATAAAGTGATTATTTAAAAAAAAAAAAAAAGAAGACCAGAGAATACGGTTCTGCTCCTGGGTTCGCCAGTAATTCTGCTAGAATTTGGGGAGCCCCTTTCCCTCTCCAGACTCAGGCCTCACTGGTAAAAGGAGGGGTACTCAGGGATAATGTTCAACTGGTACAAGGTGGTCGCCTGAACAAAGTGTTAAAATGCTGAAATACTTGTGTACTGATTGGAAAACAGCACTTGCCCAAGCCTTCTGAGCACACCCTTGACCACTACCCTGAACTTCCCAGGATCCTCCGTGGCTCAGTGAGAGATTCCTGGAATCCTGCTCCAGCACTATAGTTCGTGGCCATTTGGATAGCCACAACCTGTGCTGTACACCTGTTAGCTATGTTGCCCACCACCCGAGATGCCCCGGTAAGTCGTTTTCCAAGGCTGTGATACAAGGAACGCCAGGGCAAGCTTATGTGCTGTTAGAGGATGCCACTACCCAGCGTCCACCTAGAGCCCAGCAAGACATAGGAAACAAGGGGGCTGGGACAAGCAGAACAGTGGACCCATGGGAGACATGCCTTCTGCCCCAGGTCCCTTCTATCACTTGGGGCACCTGGATGTGAGCCTGGAGTAATGAGGCAAATCAATGGAATCTTCTTAGGGCAAATTCTTAGTGCGAAATTTGTCTCCAAATGCTGAAAAGAAATACACCATTGTAAAGCAACTCTTAAAGTAAAATCCTCAGCTCTGAGGCAAATTACCTCTATATGTAATCAAATTATATTTACCATGGAAATTCTAATAGCTCAGGCTTTCTATTCCACTTTACAATCCTTTAGGAAAAGAAGAATTTCTCTCTTCCATGTACCAAATTTCCATAGCAGATTTGAAGCACTGTACATGCTGAAATATATAGGAAAGAAAAAACATTCCCGTTTTTGTTGCTTCCTTCAGCCCTCTATACCTTCTACGCCACCATTACTCAAAAGTCACTCAAACATTTTGCTGGCTGACATGACGCCATGCTGTCACTTGATCAGGTGTGGGGTACCACATGGTATGAATAAATACTTATCCACAACCGCATATTAAATGGGAATTCGCACAGGCGGGCTCCGGAGACAAAGACGTTTCTATACAGAAATATTAACTAAGAATTTAAGTAAATGGCCCCACTGGAAAAAAAAAAGTTCTGAAGTAGCAATATAAACTATATTTAATAGCAACAAAAAATATTTTCCTTTTGGGAAAGCAATTTGGGCTTCTAAAAGTTACTGCCTTTTCACATGACTTAGTACAGTATGCCTGAATTCTTTCATTTCCTAAAACACAGATGCTAGGCCCCAAAATTCTACTTTGTGAGAGTTAAATTTTTTAAATTAATCTTCCCCCAAATATAATAGTCAAATAAGAAACTATTTTGGTAACTTTTTCCCCCCCCACAATTGTTATTTTCTTAAGTGCCTGAGTATAACACGTCCCAGAGAACATATGTTCCCAAGGAAGAAAAAAAACGGGCTCTAGAACTAATACACAATGAAAAATAAATTTAAAGCAGCCTTCTGGTCTGACATAAGAATATAAAAATGATATGAGCAAGAACAGCTTAGTTTACATACTTTTCAGTCACAGCTGCTGCTCTGAAGCCACAATACCTTTAAAATGACATTTTAAGGAAACAGATACGGCATGGCTTTAGCTGTAGTTAGATGTAGCTAACACTGAATTAAAGGGGCTTTTCTTTTTATACACATACTTTATATAACCCTGTTCACTGGCACAATTAAGAAGAATGATTCATTTAAAAATAATGTAGTGATCAACAGAGTAAAAGATACAAATAATCCTATCCAGCAAGCTTTTTTTTTTTTCTTTAAAATCACCAGACTCAGATGTAAAAATAGAATTTCGAGGACAGAAGGAACAAGTCCCCTCTTCTTGGTTAATATTTAATTGGGTGCTAAAGATTTCTTGGAGAGGACCTCTGTACCTCCAGCGACAGGCACACGAGAGGCTCCTATCTCTGCAAGAGATGCAGGCACTTTACTGAATAAACGAAAATAACATACAATTAAATCAGACCATTCAATTAATAAATTACTTTAGTGGACCTTGCAGGCCAAGTCCTATTTAATTACATAATTTAAAAAATATTTGCACATTGCAATCACCGAAATTGGCTTTGAGGTTTCATAATACACACTTAACACTTGAGTTTGAGAACAAATTTATTTAATAAATGCAGGCCTAAGTGCTAGAAGGCCGTACCACTCAAACTGCAAAATCACTTAGCACATCCTCAGAAAAAGCAAATAAACTTTTCCACTATTTAGACGTAGGCTGCTGCTGAATGTCAGGAGAGACTGGCTGACTTTTTGTGTTTCTCTGTCATGTGTTGCTTGTAAATCTGAACATTTTGAGAGGTGATTAGAACAGAGCTAATGGACAAAATGGGTCCCGTTAAAGATAACTTAAAAGATAAACTAAGGTGGAAGATGTCAAGGTCCAGGTAGTAAAAACCTCTTCAGAGTAAAACAAAGAGAAGTCGTATCAGCTCCCCATGTTTCACTGCTTAGAATACCAAAATACACCATAAATTCACATGGTTAGCCAGCATAAAGATATATTCCATTAGGAAAGCACACACAAATTTAGGGGTGAGGAGAACGTTCATAAAAAGGATAGAATTACACAGTATTCAAAAGACAGCAGAAACATTTCAAACTGCCTACATTCCTTATTGTATTGGCGACCATGATGTTGCCATTAGGTGAATTTTCTAGAAAAGTACTTCACCGCTTTGGCACTTTTTTTGGGGGGGGACATCACATTTAATAAAAATCTTTGTCAAACCCACACACCTTCAAATAACTATTGCATGCTTTACACCCACAAAGTCTCAGAGTTTCTGGACCTGTGTGAGGTTAACTTCCTTTACACTAAAAGTCCCCAGACCACCATGACAAGAGGTAGTTTTGTTGTCATTTGTAGGTCTTCTTTTTTTTTTCTTTTTTCTTTTTTGAGTTGGAGTCTCACTCTGTCACCTAGACTGGAGTGCAGTGGCCGCTCCCAGCCACCGCAGCCTCGACCTGCTGGGCTCCAGCCAGCCTTCCGCCTCAGCCTTCCAAGTAGCTGGAACTACAGGCACGCGCTACCACACCTGGCTAATTTTTGATTTATTGTAGAGATGAGGTCTCGCCAAGTTGCCCAGGCGGGTCTCGAACCCGCGGGCTCAGGCAATCCACTCACCTCAGTCTCCCAAAGGCACGGGATTACAGGCTGAGCCACCGAGCCCGGCTTGTAGGTCTTCTTAAAGATTTCTGGCACGTAGGATCCAGCTTGCTGTGCTTCCTTTTGCCTGCTTCTAGAAACGTCTCTGCTTACCTCCAAAAAGCCTCTTAGATTATAACGAACTGCCAGTTAGAAAGGCATCTAAAGTTCTAAAAGTTACACATTTCAAATAAGGTACAAGTGAAAGATTCTAGTTCAACTTTGTAATCTCTGTTCACTTATGAAACAAAATAAATTCTTCTCAAAGTCCCACAGCTCCTTCACTCTTCTCCCTTTCAGAAAGTTCTAGAAAGAGTTGTGTACACGCCCTGCCTCCACTCATTTGTCTCTTAAATATCCTTCATCTCTCAACATCCCATGGAAACCTCTGTTACCAAGGTTACTCGGGCTCAAGTCCTGTCTGATTTGGTCCATGGGCTCCATCAACAGGGCTTACCGGCCCTTTGTCTCCAGCAGTTCTTACTTCCAAACCAATCCTGTGACACTGGCTCTCTATTATCTGCCCCCTTCTCTAGTAAACTCTTCTTTGCCAACCTGGTTCTCCTTCCTTGGGCCTTTCCTCAGTGAATGCTGCCACCATCCACTCGTCTAATGAGGCTAAATACTCTGAAGGCACCTTAGACTCCTCCTCACCCACACTCACCAGCCATACCCATTCCATTCTCCTTCCTTCATCCGGAGACCAGGGTGCCTCACATGGACTTCCACAACTGCCTTCTGAAAGCCCCTTCCTGCCTTTAAGTCTAACCTTTCCTCACTTCTACTCATACGGAGGACAAACATCTTATAAAATGCAAACTAACAAAAGTTTTAATTCATAGGTAACTTCTTTCCCCCACCACATCTTAATATTTCTGACACTGGGATGCATCTCAAAATTGATGTGGATGCTTAACGCCACATGCCCCCAACAGGCATGTCCCATCACAGCTGAAGAATATCTTAGCACTCTAAGACTTAGAGAGTCAAGATGAAATGTCCAAAGGTATTATTCAAAAGGCCCTTCTTGATGTCATTTGCTACCTGGTCTTCTGGCTGCACCTGTTTGGTCTCTCTGACCTCCACTCTACCTCAACAGACAGTTACACACACACCCTGCCCTCTCTCATCTCTAAGCTGTTGCACAGATCTAGCCTATCACCCTATTCACCTAGAGAGGGCCACATGTCCCACACAACTCGTGCACAAATGCTATTTCCTCCAAGAAGCCTTCTCTAAACTCTCTTTAGATCTATGCACCCATAATCTGTTCCATTTGTACACAGTACTTATCCTAATATAGAAATAATTCTGTTTTTTTATAATGGTCTATTTAATCAATAGCTTCTCTCACTACACTGTATGCCCAGTCTATAAAAGGCACTTAATAAATCTTGAATGAAGAAAAAAGTTGATGAACTCTAGCAAACAAAGTTAATGACTACAATTTTTCCTTTCTTCCTTGGTTCCTTCATAAAATCAGGTCTTCCCGGTCTAAGCTCCTCTCCCCACTACGATGGCTCAGCAATGCACGGTCAAACAGATAGAGTCTGCATAGGGTTTGTTCACACCTCTGAAGATATAAGAAATGTATCACAGCTGGTATTTACGTGAATGGCTCTGATATAATGTGAACAAAAACCCTTATGTTCCCTTGAAGTAAAATCGTCTCATTGTTCATAATACAGTGCAAAAGAAATAGAATGAGCAAGGAAGCTATAAGAATTTAATCAAGTTGATTTCTTATAAAGAAAAATTGAGA